GGGTTACCAATCTACTTCCTCGGGAGAGCAGAGTCCGCTGCTTTTAGATGTTGGCGCCAAAGCCTCCAGTAGCAGAAAAATGTCACTAGATTTCATGCTAGGTGCTTTTTAGAAATCAAAGTGCTAGAGGGGTCTGAAAAGTTGCTAAATATAGTGACTAAAGCGCTAAGTTGGCAGCACTGCTCTTTGCATGGTTTGTTTTCAAATGGTTTGCTGCTGTCTGTTTGGACCTCTCTGAACATGTGCAGCAAATGGACTGATCCAATATGGTGGACACTGAAGGGGGGGCTGAGAAACACTTAATATTATCAGTGTTCTGATGGCTTTTTAGCCAAAGGATTTTTATCAAAAACATAATTAATGTGCACAAATAAGGAATAGTTGTATTAACCATACATGGAAACAGAGTTTTATGGGGCCCCCAGGAATTTGGGGCCCTAAGCAACTGCTTAGTATTGTCTAATGGTAAATCACCCCCTTGGCTAGGACCCCCAAACTGATGGTGAGATGGAGTGGGGACCCCCTAATTATATATAGTGTATGAAATAGTGTTCTATCAAACTGGTTCTATAGTCACTCTATTACAGATGGAGTAATGTAACTAAAGTAATTTCTCCCTGGGATTATTAAAGTATTTCTGATTCCTGGTTGATGGGACAGGTGTTGTGAATGAAACGGTGCCCAGCTTGAAAGAGCTCCTGTGTGTCGCTGAATGTGTGCATTGATGACTGAAAGACATCTTCTGCCTCCATTTATCTGTTTACTACAGTCTGTTGAATTCCTCAAGACATTTCAATTAGTGGAAAAAATGCAGGGGAGAATATTTAAAAAAGTCTAATCAACCAAAACTTTCATGACCCCCATGCAGCACCTCTGTGGACCCCCTGTTGAAGACCTCCGCCCTAAAGCTATTGGCTGAATGAATCATAAAGTAGGTCAGATGCCTGACTAGCAGGAGCCACTGAAGCCCTCTTCATCAGCACAGACAGAACGTCTACACAGCTTAACATGTTATTATTCATTTATAACTTCTATGGGGCTATCATTCTATGACTTGCATTTCTATTCTACATCTATGGTTCTTATATGCATTATAAATACGACATATAACCAGAGCTGCAGTGTTGGTATACATTATCACTAGAGATATCCCGATCCAATATTGATATCTTCATGATGTCAGCCTGAAACCCAGGTTCTGATTATATTGATCTGTATCTAACATTTCAGATAGAGGGATGTTAATAGAAGCACCATCCTTTTAACTCAGGAGAATCACTACTATTGTAAAAGTTTATACTTAATGTTATGACTTTATCTCACAAATCGAACAGTATGACTTTATTATTGTAATAATATGACTTAATTTACGTAAAATATGTTTGTCTAAATATAACCTAAATACTCTGCTAATATATACAAAAAAAGAAAAATATTTATTTATTTATTTACCAAAAATAACTTTGATCATAAATATCAAGAAAAGATCCAATAAGTTTAACATTACAAGGATTTCTTTACTAGTTTTTGATCAAATATGAAATAAACATCAATTTAAACTGATATTTAAAACAGAGTAAGCTAAAGATGTAACCATTATTGGTTTTGGAGTCCCTTCTGCCCATCCATGCTTACTATAAAGAGGGTAATAAAATGAACAGATCAGCAAATGCCTCATAAATGTTGTTATTTTAAAAAAAAGTGCAATATATTATAACAATACATTTCAAAATAGGATCGAAAAGCTTTCATATGAAAAGTTTATTTAAGAGAAATATTTGGAAAATAAAGTCCTTACTTCTCTAATGAGAGGTCAGAACTGAACATTTATGGCCCACATTGGGGTAAAAAGATGGAAGTTCCTCTGCAGACCTCAGCTGTTATCGTTCACAGAGCCCTGCCTTTCAGAAAGTCACCTGATAAACAGTAATTTGATACTTTTATGACTTATTCAGTGCACCTAAAAACAATTACACAGCAGTTTTTTGAACCCTCACGTGCAGAGGAGCGTGAGCTCCTTGAGAATGATTAACAGCCTAATGTTAGTGCATAGAGACAGCTGGCTGTAAGGCGGAATCTAAAAGCAGAGACGGCTACTAAACTTGGACAAAATGGAGTTAATGTTTGATTTTTTCAGATGTTCAGATAGAGGCGAAGTCAGGGGTTAACATTAACTGAAACTGATCTTTAATGACAGATTTTCCTCATATAGTCGGTCTTAAAACCATCATTCAGTTCATCTGATCCTCAAACTGCAGCTGATGTTAGAAACATGCCAGAAGGCACAGCATCTCTGATTGACTTTAATCCTATGTTTTTTGCACTTTCATTCTCTCAAAAGTCCCGTTTCCTTACTTGACAAAGGAGCTGGCCATGAGGCCGATCAGGGCAACGGCAGCACCACCCACAGCAGTTATCCTGCAGCCGAAGATGTCTGTGAAGATGCTGACGATGGGGGAGCAGAAGAAGATCATCCCCATGGACAGCGAGCCCACCCAAGCTGAAACAGACATACAGAGAATTCATTAACTGTGAGGCTGTTGGTGGGAGACCAGTCAGTCAAGAGTTACAGACACTGATGATCTACTGGGGTTTTAACTGAAACCGTCACTATGGTTGTATTGTTGGTGTCAGAGGAGGAGGGGCAGACTGGATAAGATGTAAGGGCGACAGCAGATCGGCTTAATTAGCAGAGTAAACACGGTGCTGCTTTTTCTCAGATTTAATGTAAACATTTGTTGTGTATTCCACAGAAAGTGATGTTCCATTGCTCATCCAGTCCATCACAGGCTAACATGGAGACACTGTCATAAGGGCACATGATATACTTTAACCTTGTATTTGAAAGACTTGGCTGGGATTTGAACACAAGACTTTGTTGCTACAGGATAGTAGTGCAATCAGTTGCACAAAATGCATTTAATAAAAACAATAAAAAGTACTTTTTAATGGATTTTATTGTAAATTCTACTAGAAGAACAGGAATTTCTTTTGTATCACCCGATAACTTTACATCAGAGATCACAAGAATCTCATGTGGTGTCCCCCAAGGGTCCATCTTAGGGCCCCTCCAATTCAATATCTACTATTTGCTCCTCCTAAAGGGCTGGTTATCCTCCTGCAGCCAAATGTTGCAGGTATGACGCAGATATTTTTGATTTATGCCCAATATTGAAGCTGGGTCTGCACTATGTTATTCCTCGCCACAAATTAAGAGGGCCAATCAGGAACTAGCTGTGGGTCTAGATACGGCCGAGGCAGTGAGGAAGTGGGGGCAAGTTTGAGCGACAACGGAGGGACATGAGGGCAAAAAAGAGCGGGGATCCAGGTGGAAAAAGGGTCCCAGTGTTCTCGTGCACCGGATGGTGCATCGTGTAGTGTACAGGGGCTAAAGAGGGGCGACCACCTCCCCATCAGGAATCGTGAGGTCAGCAGAAAATCAAACATGTTTGAAATTCAGTCGGCCATCGTAAGGTGGTAGTGGGCAAATCACTCAGTGACCAAACAAGTATTCTTCTTCTTCCTCTCAGATGTAAACACAGAAGCATGGTGGGGGTGCAATTAGTGAAATGGAGTTCTTTCTGTAAAATTGACGGACCTAAGTAGCCATGTTTGCTCAGCCATGTCTTTGTCCAAATATGTCGTCGCCTTTTCTTTTTAGGACTTTCAGCACAAAATTCAGCCAAGGCAGCGCGTTTCACTCTAGTGAGCTTCATGTTCCTCTTGTACTCGTTTGGCTTCCAGATAGACAAGTCCAAGTAGCGCCATCACACTGCGGAGCTGAGTCCAACATGGTTTTTAGACGTACAGTGTGAGCAGGTAGATCGCATCAGAGCTTCGGGCCTCAAAGTGTGAGAACATACATGTTGAGCTGTGAACCTTTAAACCTTGTGGTTTCATCATACAGTGTGAGCTGTAGCTGCGTGCAACGATTGAAAATATCTCACAGTGAATGCCCGACTTTAGAGTGGATTCGACAGCTGCAGAAGGTCCAGAATGCTGCATGCCTGGATCTTCACTAAAACTAAGAAAGTAAAGAATATCAGCCCAGTTCTACAGTCCTTCTATGTGGTAAAGCAAAACAGAAAAAGATGTATTTTTCTGTAATATTGAAAAATAAATGATTATCTTAAGCTTTTTTCTTTATTCTGATCTGTAGATCAAACACAAAGAAACCTCCTTGCAAAGAAAGTTAACTGTGTTTGATCTTTTCTTTTTATAAGCACCAATAAAACTAGAAGCACACAATTCTAAGCTGTAAACATGTAGTAAAAATGATGTTTGTAGCTTTGGTAGAACAGGAACCTCCTCCATCTGAGGAAACATCTGCAATGTTGGTGCGTGCTTGGTCAGCAGGACTGTGAGTCTAAGGTTAAACACCACTGAGTCATCCTGCAGGAGATTCCTCTGTGCAGACGCAAGGACCAGACACAAAACAGAACAGCTCATTCTAAACAGAGAGAGAATATTGACAGAAATAGTTTCAAAGTAAAAAGTCTTCAGATAGAATAATCTGGATATGAGTCTGTTTTCAGTGTTCTCACCTGGCTTTACAGTGGATAAGATAACATCTATAGCTGTTGTTCTCAATCTAAAGTCAGATGAAACCTGTGGGAATAAGAAAAGCTGCTGGGGTCTGGGAGTCTGAGGGGGAGTCTTGTCTGCTTTTTGCGTCAGTTACTAGAAACCACTGAGAGAGACTCGGGTTTCAGGGCTGCTGTCTTCTTGACTGATGTGTCTTTAATCTGTGTGAATCCTAATCTCGCCCCATGCCATCAAGGAGCCACGCCCTCTCAGAACCCAGCAAAGGACAAATATTTTCCCATATCTCTCCTATCTTAGCTTCTCTTCATTGGCTTCCTGTTAAATCCAGAATAGAATTTAAATCCTCCTTCTCACATATAAAGCCTTAAATGGCCAAGCTCCATCTGATATCAGAGATCTGATTGTTCCTTATGTTCCTAACAGAGCACTTCGCTCTCAATCTGCAGGTTTACTAGTGGTTCCTAGAATCACTAGTAGAAGCATATGACGTACTAACAGAGCGACGACGAAAACACAACCATAAGCCAGGCTACTCTTGCCGAAATCAGTCGGGACTCGAAGAGCAAAAACATCTTTTCCTCTGAGAAAAGCCTCCAGAGCAGTGTTTTGCTCTTCTTTCAGTGAAGAAATACTCTGTAATTCCGATAAAACTTGCTCGATAGCCACGCTAATGCTAGTTTCATCGGCTGAAGCCGCCATGTTCTTTAGACTGAACTGTCGCGCTTCTCGTTGCGTCACACCTCAACCCGCCTCAAAGCCAACACTGATTAGACGTTCGTTTGGTGAACAGCTCCAAATTTTCTTTAATGGAGAGTCTCCAGACTGATCTGCGAGTGAAACCATGAAAGCTCGCGAGAGGCTATTATCCCAGTACTACAACTGTAAAAGTTTAACACCTCAGAAACTGACAATAAGTACAAAGTTAAAGTTTTAAATAATCCAATGAAGCTTATTCTGTATTTTATGGTTTCTATGTAACATTTGTTGGAGCTATGAAAAAGAGAGTATAAGCTTTAAGTAACAAAAGGATAAAAAATATATATATATTTTATTGTTGGACTGGACTGGATGACAGCAGACTGTTTAAAAGTTAAAGCTCCTCTGTATTTATTCCTAATTTAGGTCTGAACATGTGAAACAAAAACCCTTCCTTGCCCTTAACCCTCTCTGATGCTTTTAGTTTGGATGTTGGTTAAAATCCCAGCAAACCAGGAAAGTATACACAGGTGTTTGCTTAAGTTTTCCTACCCCTTAAATATCTCCAGAGTTTGTCAAATAAACATCAATCTCAATGATAGAGTCGAGGCTGCTTTTTCAGTGTTTAGACCTGTTTCTCTCCTGGATATAGCTATGGGCTCAGCTTTTACTGTGACTGAGTGCACTGGGTCAAAGCTTGTCTGTTAACTGTTTCTTTCCCAGACAGAACCACCTGTGTAGATAATTTACTGTTAGCTTCTCTAACATAGAAATACTTATAGATCAGTGCTTCTATCTTCATTTTGTATCTCTGCTTCTGTCTCCTTGAACCCCAGTCGGCCTCAGCAGATGGCCGCTCTCACTGAGCCTGGTTCTGCTGGAGGTTTCTTCCTGTTAAAAGAGAGTTTTCTCTCTCCGCTGTCGCAGCATGTATGCTGGGTGTGAGGGATTGCTGAAGAGTCAGGCTAGCAACTGTCTACTGTTGCCACATGCTTATCCAGGAGGAGCAGGTCCTGTAAAATCAATGACTAGATGCTATCAGCCGGTTTTTCTTAGAGAGAAAACTTATAACAACCTTTCTAACTGACTTGAATTAATTAAAGTACCTTGAGATTACACACTGTGATTGATGATTTAAACACTAACTGAGTAGAAATAAAATACTTTGTTAATTAACAGCCCGTATTAGTTCCATGCATCAACCCGACCATCCTCCCACTATGTTTTGAAGAGCTCCTTCCCACAGCATAATACTGCGACAACAGTGTTTTAGAAAAAAAGTCTTCCCCTTTATTTTACTTCATGGGCCACATTCTTCCACATGTTCTTTCACCCTTTAATGGTTTGAGACAATATTTAAAGATACATCATTTTTAAAATGTGTACATCTGGGTGTGCTTTGGGGGCGCAGTGGTTGGTGCACACAACCCATGTATGGAGGCCTTAGCCATCGATGCGGCCGACGGGTTTGAATCCGACCTATGGTCCTTTGCCGCATGTCTCTCCTCCTCTCTCTTATAACCCCTTTCCTATCAGCTTACTGTCCAAAAAACAGCCATTAGTGCTGTAAAAACGAAAAAAAAAAACAACTACTAAAAAAACTGGATACATCAGTAACTCACTCAGGTTACAAGGGTTTTATGACAAATTAGGGCGTCCTGTTGGCATAGCATTTGTTATGTTTGTCTTTCAAGCTTTGTTTTTGCTTGTCGTTTGTAATAAAGCAATGGTGAACAAGCCAAAGGTGTGTGGAGCTCCCATAGCTGCAAAAAAAAAAAAAGGAAAGTCCAAGATCGGGTGTAAAAAGGCACAAAAGATTTTTGGTTCCAACATGAATAAAACTCAAGTATTGCAGAGAAACCAGTCTGTCTGTTGGGGTTCGCTGAAGCTGGAGCTAAAGCTCAGGAAGCATTGTGACGTTGCTGTCAAGTTGATGCTTTCAAACCCTTTTCCATGGGGCATTACTGCACGGTCGGGACGTATTGGTTAGAACACCAATTGTCATGATCTTCTATGATAGCTGGCCTTAATTACTCATGCCTTTCATCTGCTTTACTCTTTCCAGTTCCTAATCATCATTCATCTCATCCACCTGCCAGTCTCCCTTATATTGGGCTAAATTCCAGCTATCATGGCCAGATCATTGGATGTTATTTTCTGTTCAGTCTGTTCAGTTCTGTTTATTCTAAGGTTCATGTCCTGGATCCTGGTAGGGTTTTGTGTTTGTCTCGTCTCCTGCCCGTCCACTGTTCCTTCCCT